TTTTCAGTGTGAGATAGTTGTGCGGGTCGCTGATAAATCTGACCTAAGTTAGATGTTTTCATTTCACTCTGCATCTGTCATCTAAACAAAGTGAAGTCAAAAACTCAAGCTGCACCCCTTTGTTGACATTTTTAGGTCATTAGTTATTTTAAGCTGAATCTCATTCCATTCTTTCTCATTTTACATGGGTATGAGGATTCTGGCTTTTCTCTATGAGCCAATGTAATCTTACAGAGCTTTCACTATCAATTAGAAAAATGACAGTTTATTCAGTGTTTAATGAAGATTGATTGTATGTTGTTTAACGTCCCACTCGAGAATTTTTCACTCATATAGAGACGTCACCATATATCGGTGAAGGGCTTCAAATTTTGAACCTTACTCGGCACTCAGGGCCATTGAGCAGTGAGGGATCTTTATCGTGCCAACGCCTGCCGTGACACGGGGCCTCGGTTTTTAAGGTCTCATCAGAAGGACCCGCAACTTTAACTTCAAAGTGCCGAGCGCATGGCGAAGGAACAGTTGCTACCCATTTTTTATCGACTTAGATCAGTCGCGGCCGAGATTCGAACTCACGACCTCCCGATCACGGAGCGAGCGCTCTACCGACTGAGCTACACATTGCTTTTTTTTTGAAGTGTCAAATGACCCATAGCTGAATTGTTTGTTTCTGAGGGTGAGGGAGCGACAACCCAAGGAAAAGTGAGAGAGATTAGTATGGTAATCGCTATGTCACTTATAATACAAGGAAGAAAGGGAGTGAGTGGACCTTTTAGCTGATACACGTTTTAATAGTGGTATAAAGTGTATAACTTATTTTCAAACTAATTATCATTTATTTTTATAATTCTACATGGAAGGTAATAAATAGGTGAGTGTAATATTGAAAAACTGAGTTCTTATAAATTGCTTTAAACTCTGAGCCTAATAGTTCCTGGCAGGTTTGTTAACACGTCCATTTAAACTGTATGTAAACAACCAGTTAGACCGACTGTATCTGTTAATTAATTTTGTTCAACGGTTTCCAAATATTTTTAATATTATCCAAATATTATCCAAACAAGGGTTACAGTACCAACCAGACCCAACCTGACACCAAAGCAGTCCCAGAAAGCAGTCCCCGGGACTGCTCTGGGACCGCTGTGGGACTGCTCTGGGACCGCTATGGGACTGCTCTGGGACTGCTATGGGACTGCTCTAGAAAGCAGACCCAGCAGTCCCTGGGACTGCTTTCTGGGACTGCTTTGTTCACTCATGCGTGAAAAAGGTTCTGAGTGACATGATAGCTCCGCCTCTTGTGTATTCTGAATTTGCAGCTCCTTGTTGTTGTTTCGTTTACTTTCTGCAGAGAGGTGTTTAAGATAAAAGCAAATATAAAAAAAAAACAAGAATTAATTTCTTACACAAATTAAATAAATAGAGATAGTTATACATGTAATTACTAAATGTCCTCAGAGGGCTGTAAATTTACACAATTGTAGTCTAGAATTAATTTTAAGAAAATAAAAGTAGTTAAAAAGGGAAGTCAGGGGATAATTTTTATCCCTTAAATTAAACTTCAATACAGGTGTTTGAAAAAAAAAATTATCTAGGCCTATTTAATAAATTAATGCTGTCAAATTACATATGTACTCAAAGTTTGCATTAGCACTATTTAAAAAAAAAAACAAACAAAAAGCAAACAAACTTGTCATTTCAGTAAGATACATGTATTTAGAGGAACGTACTGTCCTGGATTTTTTTCTTAATTGAAAAAGCTAATACCATGCTTAAAAAAGAGCACTCCATGCTATTTTTTACCACCCTCAAATAAAGCCTAATAATTTATTTAATGGTCGTGAAATAAAATTATTCTACCATTCTTCTGTCACATAAACAATGTGAACAATTATTCGGGGATTTATTTATGAATTAGTTTTTAATTTATAAACAAGTCATGAAAATAGTACATTTATTTAAAAAAATAAACATTTGAAAATATCGGGAATTGTGACTTGTTTCTTATTTCTTTTGTTTGTGTTTACCTGGCCGGTTAATACAATGGGATTGTATAAAATGGTGTCAACACCTGAGGTTTCAATCGCCTTTTGGCATAATTAGCAGAAAGTCAATGCATGTTATTTCGGTATCAGTGTTACACATCACTCAACACGCTGGTCAACATTGACACTAATTTCAATCTATGTCCTTCAAAAAATCTTAGTTTCAATAATTGTGTATAAATTTATTTCGGGTTTAATTAATGTTGAACATAATCTGAGGGTCCATTTGCGTGATTTACAGATGTACACTCGAACATTTATATAATAAAACATTTAAAACTGAGAATCTAAAGATAATTAAATTGGCAAGTCATTGAAAATAATCATGACTGAAATATAATACTCGGCAATGTTTAACAAAGTTTAACAAAGAATTTTTCAAAAGCTCCAATACTTAAGAAAAATGCATTCAGAGTATAGTATGGGAATCGGCCTTGTTCTATAATTATTATTATCTATTTAAAGCTAATTCTGATAAACAATTCAAGTTTAATTTTCTATATAAAAAAATAAATAGGAAAACCAATATCAATCACAAAAAATAAAGAAATTGGTTTATTTTGGTTAAAAATTAATATACCAAATAATTGTGTTTAAATATTCATGTTATTAATAGGTGTGAACGTCTTCTTCATTCAATAATTATAATTTGTTTCTATACACGTACTGTGATTTTCTTAACAGTTCAGAAATGACTGTCGCGTAAGAATTGTAAATATTTGTTGATACTACTCAGAAAGAAATGCTCATCAATTTCAACTGCCTTTTATATAGTTACATTGTTTATTGGTAATCTCATTCTGAGTAAGCTCCGCCCATTAAATTAATTAACCCCGCCCACTGGGACTGCTTTCTGGGACTACTGGGACTACTTTCTGGGACCGCTGGGACTGCTGGGACCGCTGGGGGACTGCTGTGGGACCGCTCTGGGACTGCCCTGGGACTGCTTTGTGTCAGGTTGGGTCTGGTTGGTACTGTACCTTATTAGTATCATGTTTGTCTATGCAATACTAATGTAATTTTCTCAAGTTACAAATACGTACGTAACTTTCAGAAACTTACAAATTTTAATTAGGTCATAGTAGCTATGAATTGCCATTTAGTTAAAAGACTTGAAACAGCCAACAATCGCACAAAAACGAATGAAAAACTTTCATACTAATGCAATTTCTTGAACATCTTTATCCATTCATATTTTTTTAAAAAAAATCTTAGACTCCAAAATTTGACTCCAAACTCCACTCCATAACTCCACTCCATGCCTCCAGTCCATGAATTACACGGTGCCTTCTTCAATGTACAATAAAATCTCTCTGGATATATCAATCCATGGGCATTTTTGTAGCAAAACTTCTTAGACCTTCTTCGAAATAAGGGCAAATAATGCTTATAAGACATCTTTGGTCTGTTTCACAAAAGAACTTATGACTAAGACCAAAATATAATTTTGAGATTAACTTTCTTTTTAACATTGATTTGAAAATGATTGATTTAAATCCTTTTAAAAATTGATTTAGATAGATATTTTTATGCAAGCAATTTTTAACTGAATCATTGATATTGCAAGATTATATTATCATCTAAGGTGTTTGATCTTAGTGCATGTAATAAGTTCTTTTGTAAAACATGCCCCTGGTAAATGTTGCAAGGATTTTTTTAAAATAAAACTTTTAATAGGTACCATATATATTGTACCCCCTAAGGTAAATATTGGCAGTCTCAGAAACATCAAATACAAAATAAAATCATGATATTAAAAAAAAACATTGAAAATTTTGTCCATTGTAGCACACCTTGTAACTTATTTTAATAACTGAATCAAGTTGACAGCATCTTGCTTGAGTCGTCTTTATAAAACAATATTAATGAGTAACCAAATATATTTCAGCACATCATTATGGGGATCGACATTCTTTTAAAGTTCTCATACTCCAATTAAATTAATTCTGTCAGAAAGTCTTCATTTTTGTTTATAACAAACAGCTGCATCTATGATGCATGTACTGGTTGATAGACTGCATGTGAAACATGGATCAGCAAAGTACAAAGAAAGCAATAACTCAGCAGTAAGGATGTAATAAAATGTTTTAAATATATTTTAGTATTACTTATCATATATATAATTTCTGTTCTGAGTCACATTTATAAAACAAAAAAAAATTCTTTGTTCAAATATTGGTGAAACTAATTATAGGTAGGAATTAACACTGCTCCCAAGAAACAAAGATAAAAATTTTAAGAGTGAATAATGCATCATCATTTAAAATGCACAATGTGTATTTCAAAAAATAAAAAAAATAACTATATGAGCTGTTGAGTTTATTTCGATAAATATTTTCCTTTTATGTCTTATACTAGAAATTAATCCTTGACATTTAACTTTGATAGACCCAATTGACAAGTACATGTAGGCTATACAACTAGATTCTGTAGCAGATTTCCCCCGATTTAACCAGAAAAAGGTATATGTGTATGTTAATATAAACAAATCAAGAGGAATGAGATACAGAAAAAAATAGTGACCTTCAAATATCAACAAATAGGGTTGAGTGCACTTTAAAAGTAAAACCAAAAAAAAAGGTATTTAAATCATGTGCCTTTGTAATTCAATTGTCATCAGTTCCACAGTGCAGTTGTTTACTCTTTATCTGTTGATATTATTAAGCTGTCAACACCTCTTATTAGGTTTGTCTGTTTTGGATAGGTGAGCAGGGTCATATATCTGAGCTTAGTTTAGATGTTGTTAATGTATTAATTTACCAAGTCTTTGTTTAAAAAAAAAAGCATTTCTGATTGACATTTAAAGGTCAAAAGTTTTTTGGTCGCACTGATTTCTTTTGTTCCTTGTATCATTCTTGTTACACAAATCCAAAATGACAATACAGGGGAGAGATTGTATACAAAAGAAATTGTTTTGTTCTCAAACTTTCTGTACTGTTATAATACAGACTCCACTCCATGACTCCACAAGACTCCACTCCACTCCACTCCACTCAGCTTTTTACCCCAAGCCTCACTGGTACGCAGTACAAAACAAAGATGGCTGCCAGTGACTTAAAAGAATATCCATTGGGCTCTCCTCTGGTGCTCATCAAAAATTGTGAAACCCATGACTTACCTATTGATATAACATGTGAGGAATGTGATGAATTCATTTGTGCAGAGTGTGCAAAAACAGATCATAGAGATCATGATTGGAAAACTCTTTCCACAGCAGCTACCGAGAAGAGGAAAGGTCTACTGACATTTCTGAAAAAGATCAAAGAGGACGATCTGCCTAGGGTTGATGCAAAAATAGAGAAGATTTCACAACAGATCACAGAAAATAAACAACTGTGTGACTCTGAGATTAAAAAGCTACAGAAGCATTTTGATGAGATAATGGCCATAATGACAGATATTAAAAAATGCCATGAAAAAACTCTTAAAGACAATTTGGTTCAAAAGAATGATCGACTGAACCATCTGAAATCTGAGTTAGACAAGAAGAGAAGAATTGTTGAGACAGTGGAATTCATGGAGGAGAACAACAGCACCATGTCAGATTACAGCTTGCTTGACAACCATAGAGAACTGACAAAAATGCTGTCTGAATTGAAGGTTCATATGACAAACTGTGAACATTCAGTAAGGTTCACTAGAGGTGAAATCAATGATGTCTTACTTGAGTCTTTGGTTGGAAAAAATTATGGATTTAGATGATATGGATGTGACTCTAATAAACTCATTTCAATATGGATATGAAACAATAAATGTGTTGGAGACCTTCCGGGAAGATCTTTGTTACATAGGGGAATATGATTCAGAATATACCGAAAAAGTCAACAAGAATGGTGCAAAAGAACATAAATTTAGAATCGCTCCAACTGACATGTGCGTGATTGTTAATGGACATGTTTATTTTGCTGATGCTAGAAACTATTCCATCAGCTGTCTGTCACCATCAGGATCTGTCTCTACAGTCATCAGTACAGATCCACTGGGACTAGGAGGAATCTGTCAGTCAATGGACGGTGGACTACTGGTCACATTGATGGACAAGGAATCAAATCCTTACAAATTAGTGTCACACAGCAGACGTCTGGTGAAACACATCACATTGACAGATGATGTCATCCATGAGTATGAATACCAGGAGGACGGTCAGACCAGACTGTTTACAATGCCAGGGCATCTCACACAGAACAGTAACAGTGATATCTGCGTTGTTAACGAGACATGTGGTTCATGTATAGGTGAACTAGTGATTATGTCTTCCTCTGATCATTTAAAGTCTGTGTACCATGGACAGGACCTGACAAAGAACTTTGCTCCAAGTGATGTAGTGTGTGACTTCCTCTGTAACATCCTTGTTACTGACCCATTGAATGACCAGATCCATCTGCTGAGTTCTGAGGGGGAGTTCTTGAAGTTCTTACTGACAGAGAATGAAGTTTATGGTCCATACTCACTGTCCCTATACAAGTCAACACTGTGGGTAGGAAACTTTAGAGGACTTGTCTCAGTGTTTAAATCTGAATGTAAATTCAAATATAGATAAATTTTTACTAAAAGCATTCATATCAGATTTGAAGTATTTCATAACAAAATTACCAAAGTGTAGTTTGATATGCATATACATAGTTCTCATATTAAATCAAATTATTAAACAATTGATAACCAAATTTATTACAGGTATTTTTTGTTTTTACATAAAATTTCAGTTTGTATATGTGTTGTTTGATTGGTTGATTTACTGTTATCAGAAATTATACCATTTTTCAAGTAAACATCATTTGGTAAAACATATGTTTTCAAAATTGCGGTATACAGTCTATATAAAGACAGATAAAATCTGGTAAGAATAGGATACTGTATATAAGAAAAACAAGTCCGAAAAAGTGCTTACTAGTATAGGACGTAGCGCAGTGGTCAGAGCGTTAGCTCTAAAGTCGCGGAGTAAGAAGTTGATCCTTATGTCGCGGGTTCAAATCCCATCAAATCCCATTGTGGGACGTGGAGACCGGTCCTTCGGATGAGAACGTATAAACCGAGGTCCCGTGTCACAGTAGGTGCTGGCACGAACAAAAACACTCACTGCTCAATGGCCCTGGATGCCGAGTATAGGACAAAATTCGTAGCTCTCCACCGGCAAGTGGCGGCGTCTCCATATGAGTGAAAAATTCTCGAGAGGGACGTTAAACAATAAACAAACAAACAGAAACTAGTATAGGAAAAAATCCTAGTATATATGTAAGACTACAAAGTCGGATGGTCACACCAAAGTCCGATGGTTTCGCCAAAGTCCGATGGTCTGTGCCAAACCCCGATGGTTTGATGTCGGCACGGACGCCAAAGTCCGATTGTCACCCCAAAGTCCAACGGTTCATTTCCTATGAGACGCACTGCGCTAAAGTGCGATGGTCCGATACTCCAAAGTCCGATGGTGCCGAGAAACAATCAACGTTTATGGCGTCGCAATATTTCGACGTCAATCCTTGGTGCCGTTGTCCTGCATTCAAAAGCCATCAGTACAGTATTCGTCCTCGCATACAATTTTACAGATTTTGCTTATTGCTAACACCACTCGACTGATCAGGGTTAGTCCTTGCAAACTATTGGACTAATTATGGGATATCTTCGCACCAACCCCAGAGATTTTGTGTTAGTCCCCGCACACTATTCGACTGATTAGGGAAGCCTCGCATCCACCCAAGATATCTAGGTTATAGTTCTTACACACTTTTCGACTATTAGGGTTAGTCTCGCACCTTTCCGAGAGATTAGGGTTAGTCCTCGCATATGATATTCATTTGTATTAATTTAAGATCTTGGCATGGCGCTGCATCGCACTTTGGAGAAGTAGTACTATGACGTCACAAACGTTAATTGTTTTCTGCACCATCGGACTTTGGCGTGTCAAACCATCAGGGTGTGGCACAGATCATCTGACTTTGGCCTGGCCATCTGACTTTGGAGTCCCATCGCACTTTGGAGTCCTACATATATATTTCTGAATACTATTTCAAAGGCACATTTTTTACCGAGTGGTAAATCTCAGGTGAGATTGGGGATTAATTTTACAGGTGTGAATGCCTCAAGGGTTAGCAGTCCACCTGCAGTTGTGTTTTCTGCTCTAATCCATATACACAGGAAGGGACTTAATACACAGTAAAGAATCTTGCAGTTGTTGAAATTTACCTGTGTTACCTTAATTTGTAATGTCACTGAGACGATTTTAAAATAATAGTAGAATACTGGAAATAAATTATTCCTACTATTGTTTTGTATTATAGTGATTTGTGTTTGTATTACAGGTAGATTCTATTTTTTTAATGTTGAAGTTGCAAGATTTCACCTTAAAAGTTTTATTAGAATAATTTGAAATGATTAGAGGACGCCAGCCATCGGACAATTATGCATATATTTTTAATTACATTGAGTCAAAGCATTATTGACCCATTCGAGTCTCTGCGTATTGCGGCAGATTTTAATTTTTGGCTAAATAGCGATCATTTTTACACACCCTACAATGGCTATTTTTTCCGAAACATTTTATAAAGCTTTCTCTAGTTTGATTTTTTTTTAGTGCAGTGCATTCAGTAAGGACTCTCTGACGAATAAAGTTGTCTATTTGGTTATTTCTTGAAGTCCTTGTGTTCCAGCGTACTGAATCAGACATTCTATCTCGGAACCATGTTACAGTCTTTATGACCGCTGATAGGTTAATCGTAATTTTGACACCATGTCTCGAAAAGTGATGTTTATAAATTCTAAATTGAAAATCATCTAAATTACAAATATTCAATAAAATAATTGATATATAATGACAATTTCAATGAGGATCGCTTAAAATCAATGTACATTGTCCGTATAAATTTGGTGTACACACTCGATTATGATCAATTAATCCCAGAAGCAATGAATAGTAACAAATATTAATTTTAATCACATTTATTGTAAAACAATGATTACATTTTGTGGCAGCTATTTGTCACAATCTATTTATACATAGATGTAAATACCCCGGCGGAACCCAGGGAATCACTACCTGCCTACCGGGATGACCTCCCTAGATCCTTGGCGCGATAGCGCCCCCACAGGTGACTGTGGTGGGAACAGACCTCTTGGTACCAACAAGAGTGAGTGCCACATCAAATGAATGAATTCAAGTTCTGACTCGGGCCCTAACTCTATACCTGCCTCCCCTGGAATACAACAACAACATGGGGACAATACCCCCAGGGGTAGGCCCCAAAACTTGCCTTTGGTACCCACAAAGATCAAGCTGGTCCCTCAGGTACCGCTGAGGTAACCCCAAATTAATCCTCCCCAGTACTGAGGATAGATTACCCAGAGTTTTGAGCCAGACATGAGAGAATTCCTCATGCGTGGTAATCGCCGAATTTCGCCGCCCCCATCCCAGATTGTGACTTAAGAAACTTTACCATTATCCCAAACCTAGAAAATTTCAATATATGTTTACAAGCTATACTTGCTTGCGATACTTATTAAAAGTAACACTGTACAGTAACTCTGTACGTAACACATAATCATCAATGATCACCAATGTCACTGAATTACTGATTATGTATCACACCTTAGAAATGTCCAATAAAACTCAGGATTGAACCGTTTACATTTGTTTCAACAGAAAATGCCCAATAAACACCAAATGGCCCCGCCATATACATAATGACCACATCCTTCCTTTGCTAATGATTCCAACCGCTAGGGTGTTCCACATACACATCACTTTCAATTTAAGAATATGCTTCTGTCACTGATATTACAGAAGAGAAAGCAGCAAAAATCTGTACATATATTTTAGGGAAGGGTGGGTGGGTGAAATTTTGCAACATGTCTGCCCTTCTAGCTTTTTCGGTAGATTATGAATATCTGGGTCATAAGGTGCTTGATTATATTGCATCATCTATTTAAGACTCATAGTCTCGATAATGTTTAACCACTACCAAGAACGCACGAGTTATCGCCCTTGCACTGGTATTAAAAGCATTTATCACAATATGGTGATAAATGCAATTAATTGAATTAGAATAAATATTATAACTTACCCATGATTCATTATCAATAATTTTACTAGTAAACAAAATGATTTTACATACTACGTGTACTTAAATATTTTGCCAAGCCAAAAATTTTCGTATCAATACAGTGTCTTTTTTGCACTGGTATGTGCGGTAATCATCAAAAAACCGAAAGTTAATTTGATGATCAAGACGTGCCCCATGCAACACAAGGTAAATGTACCTAGGGATATACAAGGTACATATATACAAAGAGACTAGGAACTAAATGTCAATCAATTTCCAATCCTGGACCTTAATTCGTTTGATTGACGGGGGTCCCTAGACCAGGTAAATTTTGGTGAGGTGGTTATTTTCTCTGTCTTTAAGTCTGCAGGGGGGTAAAGGGGAGGGGACAGGGAGCATTTTTTTGAATTTTCCTTATATTTTATATAATTATAAAGAAAAGCTAAGTACAGATACGATAATCAAAAATTAAACAGGTTCTCATTAAATGTTATCTTTGAGGAAGACAATTTCACACTTAAGTCTAAATAAATACAAGTTTGGTCACAGTAACTTTTTAATGGGCCTGTTCCTAGAATTTTAACTTGGTCAGTTAGTCATCAATAAAATCAGGGTTCAAAATTAACTTTTATTACCATGAGCAAACTTAAGCTTGTACTTGGCAAAAACATTCACTAGCAAAATTGAAAATTTTAAGAAAGTAAGCTAAATGAATTGACAAAAGGAAAAGGTTTCTGGAAATTAATCAATTCTTTGTTAACAGATAAAGTTTATGTTGACCTAAAAAGGCAAAAGATAGCTGATGTCAAAACCCAATATGCATGTCCAGTTTATAACATGGAAAACTTGTGTTCTGTTAATGAGGAAAATTATTTACAATTTACATTATGTGATAAATTATATCTGGATACTCTGTCAATGGATATTAGAGGAAAAACTATTTCGTATTCTACTTTTAAGAAAAAGAAAACAAAAGAGCGTGAAGCTCAGTTAGAAAAAGAGTTATTAGAACTGGAACAGAACAGAACTGATAACAATGCAAATGAGCCGTCCCATGCGAAAAGGGCCCTTAAGGTAAATATTCTGAAAATTGACTTTTCAATGGATTATGATAGATTATAGTGTAAAATAACCAAATATAAAGTTTGATTCAAATATTCAGAATAATTACTGAGATATAGGGAATCAAAGGTTAAGAAAATGTTGAAATTACCTTGAAAAATGACGTCCAAACTGACGTTTTTATATCACTTTCATAAATATTTGAAATATGTATCTGATTGAAAAAAAAAAACTTACTTTATCACACGAAAACATACAAGAAAAATTTATGCATAAATCCCCTTGACATTATTTAACATGCAATATTTGATATACATGTAGTTGTTTTCGTTAAAGTAAATTATATAGTAAGTGTCGAAAACGTTTCATTCTTATTAGTTTAATTTTATAAAGAGTAGGTGTTTTGGACTCTGTATCAGACGTAAATTACAATGTACATGTGCATTTTAAGAGTGTCGACATTTTTGTATGTCACATAAATGTCCATTTCGGTCAATTGTAACAAACATGATTTAAAAAATCCGATAAAAAAATTCTTTATTTAAGTTTTCTCATGAATAAAACACAGACAATTGTTTTATATCCGTAAATACCCGGTATGCTTTTTTTCTTCTAATCACTCGCGACATCATGTAAGACGTGAATATTGCTCCGATATATGGTTCAGAGAAAAGTAAATATTAAATAAAAACAAAAAAATAAAAGATATGTGTTTAGATATTTTACAGACCAGTATTTTATTTATTTGTAGTTTATGAAAAATATTTCTTTTAAAATCTAAAAAGAATCTGTAAGATAAGACTTATAACATTTCGTCTTTTTTGTAATAATAGATTTCATTGTTTGATAATTTTTTCATCATAAGGATAGTCGCCCGCGTGGTTAGAGCGTCTGCTCTAGAGTCGCGGAGTAAGGTGTTGATCCTGACGTCGCGGGTTCGAATCCCACTGTGGGACGTGGAGACCGGTCCTTCGGATGATACCGTATAAACCGAGGTCCCGTGTCGCAGTAGGTGCTGGCACGAAAAAGATTCCTCACTGCCCAATGGCTGCAAGTGCCGAGTAAAGGACAAAATTTGCAGCTTCCACCGGCAAGTGGTGGCGTCTCCATATGAGTGAAAAATTCTCGAGAGGGACGTTAAACAAAATATAAACAAACAAACAAAAAAAATATATCCAGACTAAGTCAAAGGGAATCAGCAAGTTTAGAGGGACCAATAACTAAAGAAGAAGTTTTATATTTTTTGAAAAATATGAAAAATGATAAAAGTCCAGGACCGAGTGGATTTACATGTGAGTTTTTTAAATTCTTCTGGAAAGATATCGGTACATTTGTGACAAGGGCAATAATAAATCCTGTGTCATACAGAATGGTTTTATATCTAATTATATATATCCAGAAAGGGGTTGTAGACAGGGGGATCCTATATCACCCTATCTGTTCCTACTGTGGTGTTGAAATTTTGGGTATTTTAATTCGCAAAAATAAAGATATGAGGTATATCAATAGACGGAGAGGAGTATAAGATTTCTCAATATGCAGATGATACATCACTTATCTCTGATGGATCACCTGAATCTATGGATGGAATTCTTAGAGAATTAGACTACTTTGCAAAGGTGTTGGGGCTCCAAATATATTTTCAAAAATCAAACATGATATGGATTGGCAGAAAAAAAAATTTAAAGGATGTTTATCACCATTCTAGATGGAAGTTAGACTCGAGTAGCACAACTTTTGATCTTTTAGGGATCAAATTTTCAGCAGACTTACATAATATGATTAATCTCAATTATACATCAAAGTTAAGTGAGATAAAAAAAATTTAAATCAGTGGAAACTAAGAAAATTAACCCCCATTGGTAGGTTAACTGTAATTAAGACATTGATTATCCCTAAATTAAACCATTTGATACTTATACTTTACCTAATCCATCATCAGAAATTATGAAAGTATTCGAGGATGAAATTTATTCTTTTCTTTGGGGAAGTAAAGTCCATAAAATAAAAAAGAAATACTATCACTCAAGACTATAGAGACGGTGGCCTATTCAGAGTTTATGATAGCATTAAAATCAAGTTGGATAAGAAGATTAATCCATTCAGATTCCAAATGGGAAATTCCAAATTCCATAAAGCACAACTACATACAGAGATTAAAATTCTTTGGTAAATGGGTTCAGATTTTACTGCTAAATTATGTAAGAAAATAACAAACATTTTTTGGATAGAAGTCTTTAAAAGTTGGCTTAACATATGTCTTGTAGAACAACAGAAAGATACAAATTTATTCCAAGAACACATAAGGTATAATCCAAAAATCATCGTGGGCGAGTCCTCTATCTTTCTTAAAAGTTATTTTAATGCTGGTTTTGTTTTCATTAGTGACTTGTTTGACTTTGATAATAATTTTTTAAGCCTCGACACCCTTAAATTAAAGATCTCGGTGTAAAAACAAATTTTGTTGAATATTCTGGTTTGAAACAGGCAGTGTTGGTCAGATTTGTGAACAAAAACCAAATGAATGTGGCGATTTCTTAAGGTCCAAATATACCCAGTTCTGTAACGATGTTTTATATTAATATGAAAGGATGTAAAGATATGTATAACATTCTTATTAATAGACAGAAAGAAACAAGTACTTCAATTTTAAAATGGAATGTAGATGGATATTTATCCACCTTGCCTGAATGGAGTAAAGTTTTTGAACTCCCATTTAAAGTTACAAAAGAATCAAAACTTCAGTGGTTACAATTTCAAATTTTACATAGAATAGTTCCAACAAATTTATATCTTTTTAAACTAAAGATAAAGGAGTCCCAGCTTGCAGTTTCTGTAATCTTTTTGTTGAATGTTACTTAGTAAAACAGCTTTGGAATGATATTGAAGAGTGGTTTTTGTCAAAGTTTAACATATCTGCAGTTTTTGACAGAACAACAATATTATTTGGTAAATATAAGAACAGGGATACCCATAAAGTGCAAAATTTGATTACTCTGATAATTAAAAATTATATTTTTCAAGTAAATATAAAACCATCCACTTCTAAGTAAATGACTCTAAAACAATTATTGTGAAAAGAATCTTGATTGAGAAATTTTTACTATTGAAACAATGTAAATATACAGAGTTTGAAAATAACTGGCAGAGAATATGTGAAATGTTGTGATTTATATGTATATAATTTTTTAGGGAATTGATTTTGCTTATTACCACCTTAGTGTTAAAAAAATACTATGCCACCTTTTTATTATTATTTTTTTACTTTCTCCCTCCTTTTCCTCTATTTCTCTTTTCTTCTTTTCTCCTTTTTCTTATTAAACCAACTTTCCACATAAGTGTAATGTGTGTAAATGTATATCTATATAATATGTAAATGCATTCTGTATATGGTATTCTTAATATGCACATGAGTGAAGATATATGTATAAATATGCTTATTTAATATAAATGTAAAAGTTGAAATAAACATTCATTTAAAAAAGATTTAGATTAGTAAGTTTCCTTTACAACACTGCATCTGGATTAGAAAAATTGTGTCTTTTAAGACAATTTAAACAATAAAAAAATTTATATGCGAACCAGTTTAATGGTGTCATTGTGTATACCTTTATTCACTACAGGTCAAGTCTTACCAAAAGTTCAAAACATTTAATAGAAAGAAACAAATTGTCAATGGAGAAATGGAGAATTATGAGGCAAATTTTACAATTTAACAGTTATGAGGCAGAAATGAGGCAGATTCTGAAGTTGATGATAAAAACATCAACAGTAGCCATACAATTTTGGCCAAACAACAACAAAACCATCTAAACATGCGAAGTATGAGAAAGAAAAGCAATGGAAACAATTATTCTTCACAAATGACATCTGAAGAATCATCAGCTATGGCTGCCAGCACGACTGTGTTACGAATATTATATATGCTACTTACTGGCGGGAGTTTCTAAATATCACTAATATTCATAACATCAAATTCTAGGATGCCAACTTTTTTCGATTTGATGAGGAATTCATTCATTATGATGAAAACGAAGTACTCGACAGTGCACAACAAAGAAATAAGTAAATTAAAAATCTTTTGTTCTTTTCAAAACTATTTTGACATCAGAGTAGGGGACCCATACCAGCAAGGTCACATAGATATGTCGGAAAAGGTGCAAAGAAGAGCGGCATGATACGTAATGGGATAATAGATTGAAATAGATCTAGCTTGGGAGAAATGATTAAACATCTAGAATGGAACACCTCAAAAGTAGTAGGACAGATGCAAGATTGATTATGATGTATCAGATAATTAACAACAAAGTATCCATCAGACCAGAGGACCACTTCACTAAGCCTGTAAGAAGATCGCAGCACACAAAACAACACTTGTTTCCTATACCATCTGATTAAGGATTGTAGGAAGTGGTCATTCTTTTGCAAAACCGTTAAAAAATGGAATAGCCTGCCAGAAGATATCACAGCAGCAAGATCACTTGAGATTAAAAATCTCAAGTGACAAAGAAAAACAAAACTGATACAGTCCTGTTTCTATCCAGTTTTTTAAAAAAACTTTCTTTTAAACATGTGCACACGCAACTGACAAAATCTTCAACTTCATAAAGAAGGCTAGAAAGTGGAAGAAGAAGAAAATCTATATGTGACGTTCTTTTGTTTGAGTGCTTCATTACTTTTGAGGAATGGAAAGTTGCAATTTACAATAAATAGATTTACATTTTGTACTAGTTCTTATTCCCTTACCTCTACCAGGGTAGGAATTTTGAAAATTCTATAAAGTTATTATTTCATATTAAGAACATAGATAATCAGAGATTACAGAGCTCACCTCAAGGAATATTGTTTTTAAGAAAGGCATAGTCCCATACTAAACTAATAACCTAGTAGTGTGCATCCCTAGATGCAACATTTATGCAATTTTGGTCTGATATGGTTTAGTTATTTGGGAAAGAACTTATCTAAAAACTTTAAACTAGTCAATCATTCAAAAAATATATGTCAAATCCAGTATCTGAAGCATGTTTTAAAGTGTTCATCTCTTGATTTGATGCATCATCCATGCAAGTTTGGTTAAGATAGGCCTTATTGTTTCTTGGTAATAGACCTGCTCCAAAAACTTTAACCTGGTCACTCATTTGAAACTTAGGTAATCAGACATAACAGAGATCACCTCAACGAATGTTGTCTTTAAGTAAGGCAGAATCCCAAACTAATAATCTAGTAGTGTGCATCCCTAGATGTAACATTTATGCAATTTTTGTCCAATAGGGCTTGGGAATGGACTTACCTAAAAACTTTAAATTAGTCACTCATCCAGAAAATTTAAGTCAAATCCAGCATTTGAAGCAAGTTTAAGAGTGATGCATCATCCATGCAAGTTTGGTTTAGATAATCCTTATAGTTTACTTTAACCTGGTCACTCATCTGAAAATGTAGGTCAGATACAGCATCCGGAGCAAGCCTGGTAGTGTGCATCTTTAGATGTATCATCCATGCAAGTTTGGTCAACATAGGACTTATAGTAAATTGGAAATAAAACCTGCTCCAAAAACTTTAACCTGGTCACTCATCCAGAAGATGTAGGTCAGATCCAGCATCCCAAGCAGGTCTATTTGTATGCATCTTTAGAAGTATCATCCTGGCAAGTTTGGTCAATATAGCCAACGACTTACAAGTTTCCTGATGTCTGACTTTGAAGAATTTTGCCAATCTCCACGTGCTAATGTAGACCCTGGCAGTCCACCTGCACGAGCTTCTTCAATAGGGCCATTTGTCCAATCTGGAAATGCTGATTAATCGATTTAACTTACTGAAATAAACTTTCTGATGAATATGCTTTAACTTTTAAATATTCTGTTTAAATTTCAGTTGCTACACATTTAAATGTTCTTAATAAATCATTTTAGATAGTAAGCTTAAATTTCAAAGAAAATTCAATGGAGTTTATAATTCTTTTAAAAAATAATTGCAGTATGAGGTGCACCAATTAAGGAACAATATAAACTGCTAATTGCTACCTTACGAATTGAGTGTCAACAAAACACACAGCCCCTGTAGGATTATGTAACAATCCAAACGATGTATTGTTTTGAGAAGTATTCCAAAACCAGCCCCTTTCTCCTGGCTGTGTTCATGAAACTTAATTGAGCTGGACTAGGACTGGGGGTGACCATGACAAATCTATTGGATTAGAAGGAAATAGAAAACTGGCATGCTATTTTTTTTATATTTGAGTAAAATGTATACACTGTCCAACCCCTTTTACTTCTCAATGAGTTTCTTTTTTTTAAAATAAGGTAACTAAATCAAAACAATCTCAGACTGTCTGATGAATTCAAAAGTTTTTGTTGTCTGATGTACATCAATAGTTACACAGAAAGTATATTTTGTACATTTATCTTGTTGGTAATTGAGAACTTTCTTCTCCTGAATAAACAAAAGATGTTTCAGTTATTTACAGTGTAAAAAATACAAGTACTGGATAATCACATTTATATCAATTTAAAATACATCACGTTACGTTTTGAAGAGATAGGTGTTTATAAAAATAGTTGCACAGATTTTGTATTTCTAGTTTTGAAAACCCCAAAAAGTAATGGTAATGCATTACTTAACTAAAGTAATGGTAATGTAATGTATTACTTTAAGAAATTAGAGTAATTGTAATGGTAATTTAATGCTCAAATTCTAGAAGTAATGATAATGTAATGCATTACTTTACAAAGTAATTCGCCCCAAGCCTGGTATCCATACAACCTCTAAGGAAATCTGATTCTAAATGCACAAAAAAATATATTCATAGCAATGTCATGTAAACTTTTCTTCAAGCTTCCTGAGTTAACAATTTTAACGTTTTGATTGTCTGTGTACAATTTGACAGTTCTGTTACTGAGGACTCAATAGTTATTTCCACAGCCTTCATTTCTCTCCAGGTAGAACTTTGTAAAGTCTCTTAAGAAGTCCACATTTAATGTACAATACTGTCCGCACACTCCACTGAAAAACCGGCACCAGCAAACTTGCTCGCATCTGTGTACACAATCCTTTGTGGGATAAAAGTATTATTTAAAAAACATTTAGATGCTAAATATTCTAAATGCAACCAAAAACGTTGTTCGATTTTAATTTCCTCTGTCATACAAATGCAACAATCCCAAGAAACAGAATTAGCAATAACCATGTGCATACCTCTTGTCATTAACGAACAAATATTGCCTAAACTTTGCTGAAAAGGAAATAGTAGTACCTGCAATACTTGATAAAACTCTAGGAGTGAGAACAACAGGTTTTGACACAATATGTTTAATTTTGTCCAAAATCTTATTTTTTTTTGGGGCAGGTACAGTCAGAGTACCTTGAGAAGTATCCTAAATAAAACCAAGCCATTCGAGGGAATGATGAGGTTCCCAAATACTCCTTTCTGTATTTGTAATAAAATCTGCCATACTCAAATCTAGCTTTACAGTATTTGCCATATCAAGACAAAATTCGTAGCTAGATGCAAAACCAAAACCGTCATCTAAATACACTACTATACTATAACCCTTCTCTCTCCAGTGTTTTACTAAAGGCTTCAGCAGTTGAGTAAAAATGTATGGAGCTGAGCTGAGACCAAAAGGTAAAACAGTAAAACAGTAGCAGGAATCTTTCCAGCGAAACCCTAGATATTGAACATGAAATGGGTTTATGTCTAAATGATGGTAACCACTTTTTAAATCATATTTAAACATGAAATCATTTACCTTACAATACTGTGCGGTATGTTTGACACCTTCTAATTTAAAGAAGAAGGTACAGTTTTAGCTTTATTGTGCCCTAAAAATTTAATGTTTTCAAAAAGATTTGAAACTGGCTTAAATATTAGTTGAGTATATGACTGTGATAAATCAGGAAAGAATAGGCCAAGAAGAAGTACCATTCTGGAAATATGACGTCATTAACTTGATGCATTTCTCTATTTTAAACAGAAAAAAGCCTCAAAATGACTCATTTCAAGGGTTATTTTTCTTAAGAAAATAGTGTCCACAGCCGTCGCCCACTTTAATTTTCGGACATGTTGCGTAAAATTCTTTGAAAAATCACATATCTCAAAATCTTTGTGGGCGATGCCTGTGGACAATATTATCTGAAAGAAAATTCCATTGAAAATTGATGTCTTCTGCAACTTTCAAAGAAAATACGGGAAATTGCACAAGTTTAAGACGTCACAATTAGCACTTAGAAGGTCATGTGAGAAAAATGATTTGTATGATCTTTCAGCGTGGAATTTCAATGATTCAGGAAGCATGGGTTTTAATTTTTTTACATCACTTTCATTTTTAAGAAAAACACAGGGCAAGATTTGTATTGAAAGCGTACCTTGTTCTTTGTTAACATGGCGTAAATCTAGGATAAGGGCAAGGATCAGCTATTTGTTAATAATAACGGCCGTCACTTTTGAAATTGAAATAAAGAAGAATATATATTTTTTGCAATTCAGAAAGTTGTATTTATACTTCTGTAATATAAAAGAGAAAGAATGAACAATTTAATCTTTTTATTTTAAGAAATAAAATTAATATTACCGAATTTGTGTAAAATTGTCCAACTTTTGGGCATGCTTATAAGAGATTTCCCAACCTATGTGTCAAAAATGCATTTTTTTTTAAAAAAACTTAAATTAATACTTTTTTTATATATGACTATTCTAAAAGATAGATGTTTACCTTACAAT